ATTCTGTATATACTGGAAACATTCTGCCCTTGTTATCCCTTAAGCTTACCAAGTTTCAGGATACTAGAATTGAAGCATCACCCCCTGAAACTCCAGAGATAAGTGATTACAGCAAATTAGGGACATATCATGTGGCAATTTGATGATCTGTATATTCTTCTACATGCAGGAGACTGGCCATAAACAGGGCCTAAAAAGGTGGAGGTATCATGAAAGGCTACTCTCAGTGTGTCATGGTAGTTCTTCCCCCATGGTAGCCAGCATAAGGATAGATGTGCCCCTTCCATAGTAGCCCATGGGTTGCTCAGTGACAGATAGGATACTGGACTGAAATAGACTTTCACTCAGATCGAATACTGTAGGTAGTCCTTATATGCAAAGAAAATACAAAGTTCTCAGTAACCTCTGGTCACTACAAAACTTTGCTGAATTAGAATGCTATATACCAACTCACAATACCAAGCCATACAGAAATATGGCCTCTGGTTTTCTCAGTAAAAGATTTGTCTTAAATGAGACTTCTCTCATTATAATTTATTCAGAAAGCAGCAGAGAATAGCATATGGATTTGCAAAAGTGCTTGTTAGAACTTGTTAACACAGTGCCTTGCTTCTTTTAAGCACAGTCACATTGGAGATTGAATGAGAAGAGCAAAGCTGAAGATGTTGCTTTCCGTACCATCCCACTGCCATCCCAGGCAGTGGGAGCCCCTATCTGCTGACAAGTGGTGTCTACCACTTTACCTGGAGGAATGCTAGGTCACCTCTTGGGCCTGTCAGATGGTTTTGTTCTAGGCATTGTTAGAAGGGCTACCTAATTAGCTCTTTTGTTTTGACCTCTGCCTCTAGTTAGAAATGTAATAACCTAACTGAGGGACATTGTTCTTTAAATTGTCAGCTGTGAATTTTCAACTATTCAGCGGAAATGGTTTGTTACCATGGTGACTTGCCTGGTTCTTGCTGAACTCCTGTGCAAATTCATTGAAGAAGTTGTCTTTGAGGTCAGCACTTGATTTGTTCTGAAAATCAGGAGAAGGAGAGCTTTGTGAGGCCTAACAGTGAACAATTGCTGTGGGGCTAAGAGCAGAACAGAGACACAAGCAGGGCTGTGCTATACTGGGATACCTTATAGATATGGCCACAAGGTTGTGTCTGCAGTGTCTGTCATTCGAGGGCTGTCTAGAAAGTATCCAGCCATTTTATTTATTTATTTGAGATAGAGTCTCAAGCTGTTGCCCTTGGTAGAGTGTGGTGCCATCATAGCTCACAGCAACCTCAAACTCTTGGGCTTAAGCAATTCTCTTGCCTCATCCTCCCAAGTAGCTGGGACCATAGGTGCCTGCCACAATGCCTGGCTATTTTTTTGTTATTGTTTTGGTAGTTGTCACGGTTGTTTTAGGCCCAGACCAGGTTTGAACCCATCAACCCTGGTGTATGTGGCCAGCCATAAAACAGCCATTTTAATACTGTTTTTCATATTGCATGGTGCTTTCTGGACAGCCCTTCCTTCATACTATTAAAAATTACT